TGTTTAATATCCAAGGTTCCTCGCAGCATTACTGGAGGTCAAGGTAATGCCATCCAGGGTAAGAATCTGGTTAGATACCAAATTTCTAAGATTTTCAGGGCCGAGTAAAATAACCTCAGTTTTATCTGAATCAATAAGCAAAAAGTTTGTGGCCATCCACCTCTTTATATCTTTAAGACATTCCTGCAGTTTAACCCTTTAAAGCCGGTCGGAGCACAACTACACTTTTCCAAAAAATAGTAATGTCAAAGTATCTTACTGTATATTTTACAGTTTTGTACTGTCTTTCTAGAATATTATTATATTTACAGAATTAGACTGTGATCTTACATGTCAAAGGTAAAATAACATAACATCACTGTAAATATAGTAAAACACAATTTACTTGTTTTTTTAAATATACTTTTTGTACATATGCATATTTAGATTGTAAAAATACATTCACAAATGTATCATGATTTCACAAATATCTGTCCATTATTTGAAAGATTGAACTGTTGAATTCAAATGTGATGCGATGGAAAAGTATATAACATGATTCCTATAAGCTTGTGTTGCATCACATAAGTATTATTATCATTGCTAGTTAGGGCGATCATGGCTCAAGAGTTGGCAGTTCACCTTGTGATCAGAAGGTTGCCGGTTTGACCCCTGGCTCGGACACTCTCGGTCGTTGTGTCCGTGTTCAAGACTCTTCACCTACCAGCTACTGGTGATGGCCAGAGGGGCCGATGGTGCGATATGGCAGCCTTGCCTCTGTCAGTCTGTCCCAGGGCATGTAATCCATTATTCTTTAAGTTAACTGTATATTTCTGTACATTTACGTATTATGATTCATATTGCCACATTCATGGACCTTGTATATAGGTAATTGTTTGTTTGATCACGTTAAAATGTTCCTAATTTAATGTCTAAAAGCACTTGGAAAAGGCAGAATCCCATGTAAAATTATCGCAACAAACTCTATTTTCATTACTGAAAATAACTTTATTTTTATGAGGAAGTTATTTTCTGTTATTTTACGGTAGTATTTTGGCGCCCCAGCTGCTGGAATATTACTGTTTTTATAGGATTTGTTTTTTTTCCCTATTTATAGATAATTTCATTGTTTAATCACATTAACATGTTCCTAATTTAATGTTTAAAATCACTTGAAAAGGCAAGATCCCATGTAAAATTAGCGCAACAAACTGTATTGTCATTACTGGAAATAACCGTATTTTTATGAGGAAGTTATTTTATGGTAGTATTTTGGCGCCCCAGCTGCCGGAATACTACCGTTTTTTTAAGATTTTTTTTAACAGTGTATTGTTGGAATACATCATCAGCACATCGGACTATTCCATGTCCGCCATTACCTGCCCGAAAACGGAAGTGACGTAATTTTTGTGGATATGTTTTTTTTTTTTTTTTACCTTCAGGGCCTAATAAGCATATAATGGTGTTTTTCAAAGTTATGTTTGACTTTAAGACTTTTTGTATTGTTTTTGAAACGCTTAGAACTCAAATTGCGCTGCTGGAAATAGTTTGTTTTGATGCATATGCTGTTTGTTTTTTTTGCAAATTTGCATTAGAATATTTATTTTCATTTATCCTGCAGTATATGAAAATTGGTGTATTTCAAAAATAAAACTATGAAGACACAAAAAACGAATATCCTGTGGTGGGAAACTATTTTGTGCAGCTTTTTTTTTTATTTACAGTTTTGAGCGATAAGCCTCTTAAATTTCTCTAACTACAGATACATGTTTAAAAAAAACAAAACAATTTTCAATATTTTCGTGGTTTATTGCATTTTTTTGCAATTTATGTAATTACTATGCACTTAATGCATATATATTATTAATATTTGGGCTATAACAGTTGTATTGATGTATAGCAACTTGAAATGCTCCCAAAAATGGCACTACAGCATGTAAAAATATAATATAAGCTCTGGCAGACTTGGTTCTATGGTAGGTCTTAAAGGGTTAACTAAATGATGTCTGTTATCTGGCTTCATGGATAGATAAAGCTGAGTGTCATATAAGATAAGCTACTCAAAAACACGACTATGTTTGAGAAGGAATGGGAAGTGATACTCTACCACAGAGTGAGCAAACACCAAGGGACATCGCCACCAAGCCCTTCCCTCCACTTCAGCAGACTCAGCTGACAACCCCTCCCCTGTCTATGGACAGCATGGTGCGGCTTTCAGCTCTGGGGATGGACAGGTCACATCCCTATCTTAGCCTGCTAATGCAAGCTGTGTTCCCCTGGCCTATTACCCACCGTTCATCAAATTACACGCCATTCGGACCTCACTGTGTGTGATCTGTCTGCCAGCGAGTTCTCCAATCTTGCGTCTGGTGAGGCCATGACCGGGTGCTGTGTACAGTGGGGCAAAATAGTATTTAGTCAGCCACCGATTGTGCAAGTTCCCCCACTTAAAATGATGACAGAGGTCAGTAATTTGCACCAGAGGTACACTTCAACTGT